GCATACGATTTTAATACTATAATGTTGCTATCATTAGGGTATACAAAAATATCCCATGATCAGAGACCAATGCTATCACATTTTATATTAATTTTGTACCATACCAACGTTAGGTACTTGAAATTGTACTAACTCGATATTTGCTAATAATAATTTTATATTTAAAGATGCAATATAATTTTCAATTTCTTTAATAAATTTAAATTTTTACACTTATATACCATGCTTTCAACCAGGACTATGTGGTCTAATGGTATCCGGGGTGGACTTCCAAGTGGAAGGTTGTGATTTCGAGTCTCAGTGGAGGCGTTATTGGCTCTTTGTGTTTCAGTAGGTTGAGAAAGTATATGAACAGATACTACAATGTAATAGAGCTAGTAGCATTCAAAAAAAAAAATATACCACGCTTTCAAAATTTTCATAAATTTTGGTCGAATTACTTAAAAAAAAAAAAAAAAACTAAACAATTTTTAATTAAAATATTTATTTCAACAAATATTAAAAATCATTTAAAAATTAAGTCACATTTTCTGTCGTCAATGTGTCAACAAATTGGCGACAAATTTGATTTTGTCGTCGCATTGTGCAGCAAAATTAAATTTTACTTTAAAAAATTAAATATTTCAATGACGGAAAGAATGACTGTCGTAAGTTCCGTCGCCAACCTCAAAAGTCAAATCTATCTTTGGGACAAACATCACAATAGAATTAATTTTTGCTGCCGATTCAATCGCCATAGCGCGACAGACATATAGGGTGTCGCATTTTCTGTCGCCAATGTGTTAACATATTGGCGACAGAATTGATTTTGTCGTCGCATTCTGTAGCGAAAATAAACTTTACATAAAAAGTTTATTATTTCGGTGACGGAATAAACGTTCGTCGTAAGTTCTGTCGCTAACCTCAAACGTCAAATCTACCGTTGCATCAAACATCACAACAGAATTAATTTTCGTTGCCGATTCCATCGTCATAGCGCGACAGACATATAGGGCGTAGCATTTTCTGACGCCAATGTGTCAACATATTGGCGACGGAATTGATTCTGTCGTCCCATTTTGTAGCAAAAATAAATTTTACTTCAAAATTTATATACTTTCGGGACGGAAAAAAGTCTCGTCGCAAATTCCGTCGTTAACCTCCGTCGTCAATCTCTAGGTGCAAAGATTACATGGGAATATTTTCGACTTTGCGCCAAATATTGCAACGGAATTATTTTTGTCGCGGATTCTGTAGCAAAACCGTAACAGAACGATCAACCGTTGTCTTTTCCGTCGCCGTTGTGGTGACAGAACTTAATTCTGTCGCAAAATCCGTCACCAAAATGTGGACACCAAAATTTCCTGGGCTTTTTCTCACTTTGCGCCAAAAATTGCTACAGAATTGATTTCCGTTACCATTTCCGACGCAAAACCGTGACAGAACACGTTCCGTCGCAAAAACCGTTGCGAATTGACAACGGATTACGCTCTGTCGCGATATTTCTGTCGTGATTCATGATTTTTCTTGTAGTGAAATGGTTATTAAAATTGCCTTTCTGAATGGTAAATTAAAAGAGGAAGTATACATGAATTAGCCGCAAGGCTTCATGGCCACAGGAAAGGAAAATCTGGTATGTAGATTGAAGATGTCGATCTATGGATTAAAACATGCTTCTAGACAATGGTACTTGAAATTGTCATTTGGTTTTGTAGAGATCACTGTTGATCGGTGTATCCACATAAAGGTTTAATGGAAGCAAGTTTGTAATCCTAGTATTACATGTTGACGACATTCTTCTTGCTGCTAATAATAAAAGGGATGTTGCGTGATGTTAAGGAGTATCTTTCTAAGAACTTTGAAATGAAGGATATGGGTGAGACTTCATATGTGATTGGAATAAGAAATATTCTGTGATAGATCACATGGGATTTTAGGTTTATCCTAGAAGACTCACATTAACAAAGTTTTAGAAAGATATAAACTAGAAAACTGCAAATGAGGGTCCTGTGATACTTACAAGGCACTAAGGACCACATGCTCACCTATAAAAGGAACGAATAACCTGGAGGTTATAGGTTATTCGGATTCAGACTATGCCGGATGTTTGGATACCAGAAAATCCCTCATTCGAATATATTTTTTTCCACTCGCTCATGGAGCAATATCTTGGATGAGTGTGAAGGAGCCTGTCATTGCTACTTCCACTATAAAGGCAGAATTTGTAGCATGCTTTGAGTCTACAATTCAATAATCATGGCTGCGTAATTTTATTGAGGATTCATTATGATAATACAGCAGCTATGTTCTTCTCAAAGAACGACAGATATACTAGTGGTGCCAAGCACATGGATTTGAAATTTCCGTCTGTTAAGGAGAAGGTACAAAATCAAAAGAGTATCAATAGTGCATATTGGCACCGATCTTATGATCACGGGTCCGTTGACTAAGGGATTGGCGCCCACGACCTTCATTGGCCATGTTGGAAGGATGTGCATTCTGGTAAAGTCCTTGTATAACGGTTAACTCTGCCATACATGTATGGATTTATGTTTGATAGCACATCAGGTTGATGATACTCTTAGATATCTATTCAGGTTTTGATTTTGTTATGGTTGATGTTGATCACTTATTTATGCATAATTCAGAAGTGATAACAATGGTCTTGTATAAGACATAAGGAATAAGGTTCTTTCGGATTTTACCTTATTATTATGGTTCAAATTCTTATTAACTGTGATACATGAAAGGGAGCGGGACGCTATGTCAGGCCTGTAACTGCCATGATTCGGTTAATAAAGTTCGATAAGGTGGTGAATTTTACATTTTCATATTAAGTGAGCTCAAATTAAGGATTGAAAATTGTAAAGTCACGCATATATGAATCAAGTGGGAGATTGTTAGAAATAATTTATTCCTAACGTTGATTCATATAATTAAGATGTCATGCTCATATGAATTAGTGGGAGACTGTTAGAAATAATTATTTCCTAACAATGATTTATATAATAAAGGTTGTAATTCCATAAGGTACTCACGTTGATGATCAGTGATGTGTAAAGGCAGAATTACTGGGTGAAATTCCCTCCCTCTCATTCTGTTAAAATTTAAGTTTATAAGGGTTAAAAGATGTATAATGGATAAGGTTATGGGTTTCACAATCCTAAAGGGATTTCTATTCCTAAAGGAGGTCACATTCCTAAAGGGATTTCTATTCCTAAAGGAGGTTCCCCATTCCTCTTGAAAGAGGGTTTCTCATCACATCTATAAATACCCAGGAAAACTTTAGGGATCAAAACAATTTCAAATCTCTAAGTTTTCTAGTCTCCGTGTCATCAGGAGGTGATTAAGGTATACGGATCAGAGAGGTGAAGCATTATATTCTTGATTCATTCAATTTATAGATTACATCTTCAATGGAACCAAGTAAGTTCTATCTTTTCTATTTAATTAAAAATTCATGATCATGAACATTGTTTAGTTGATTGATTTGATTTACATGCGATCATTGTTAATTGTGCTTCCGCATTCAAGTTATAACGCATAAAGGATTATTTAACACATAGATGACACGAAAGACCATAAAAGGGGATGAGAAGTACTAAAGATGGATCCAAAAAGAATGCTAATGCGCTGGAGGGATGCCAAAGAAAAACCTCGCAAGCTCACCAATATACGAGCATGGAGAATTCACGCAACAGATGTAGAGTACTTAGTCACCATAACAGCTGAAAAAGAATGCAATGAACACGTGGGTGGAATAGAAGCGACTTAAGCGGTTTGATGCGACTTCTGACATTAGTTTTTGATGACATAAAGAGGCACAAAGAATGTAAATGAACAATGGTACTAGACCATTCTAATTTGCAAGTTACTATTTTTTGTTAAAGTTTTGGAAAATGCTTAATCATGCTTTAGAAGTAATGAATCAGTGAAGCAGTCTAATCTACAAACATGGATACATTTAATTTCTAGTAGAAACATGAGCAACATGGTGGTTTTTATTAATTCAATTTAATGGGCATGAATTTATTTTATGTTAAAAAGTTGTAGCATTATTGATACTGACAGACATTGGTAACACCATGCACAGAAACATGCTACGTGGTAATGTTTGAGGTTTAATACAAATTCAAATTTGCTAGTATTTAAGTGTTGATAACGACGAATATATATTGAATATATAGAATTCGTGCAACGACGGTGTAGGACAGTGTGCAAACAAGCCATACCCCTCAGAACTAGTATGTGCAACAACAATGTTTGTAGAAATGCAATGTGTACTGAAGTTGACGTTGAACAAAGTTGGCTAAATGGTTATTAAACGGTTATGAAGTTGTGCAACGAAGAACAAATAAGCAGCGCAAGTCATAACGAATTTAAGAGAAAAATCTCTGCAACTTAATTAATGGCGTAAATGCAATGATAATATAAAAGCCAAAGAATTTAGAATTAAACTAGGACTAGTTTTCCTGAAATTCTAGGTGCAGGTCGATGTGCAATTATATAGTATGACAATGTGCAATTTTGTTTACCAATGCAGATACAGATTGCGTGACAAGGTTATACTATATGCACAAAGGGAATTTAACAAAAAAAAATAAAAGAGGAAAAAGAATGCCGCAATACGAATTCCATACCATTATTTTTAATATCAGAGGAAACGAATAGAGTAGACACAGCGCATAGAGAAATTCTAAAAAATAATGCATGGGGTAAATTTGCTGCGTACAGTCGAATAAATTTTTAACAAAACTAAACACATCAATTAATTTAATACCAACCGAAAATGCAGAACTGAAACAAGGGAATGGAGAATTAAAACATATAGAAATGTGTTTAAACGAAAATTAAATTTAATGTCCGATGCGAGCCTTTGCTCATTTTGTTCCTTGCTCATCGGGCATGTACGACTATTATGGCCATACTTTTCACAGGTTTGACATTATTGTTGACGACGTTTAGAATTCTCGACAGCTAACTCCCTAGTACTTTTGAAACACTTGCCACAACCCTTGTTATTAGAGAGAGAGAAAGAGGAAGAGGACGAATATCAACTTGGTCATCGGGCGAAGCACTGCAAAACGAATCAAATAGTTGTTCTTAGAACTAGACGGCTGATTGTTGGGGCCATTTTCGGCAATGAAACCAGCGTTCAAGTCTTTCAAAGCACTAGTGACCTTGATAACCTGATCAACACTCCGTGAAGCCATACTCATGCAAAAATAGAATTCTGCTCATGCTTCACCAATATAAACATCTACATCTGCCCCCACCCCCCCCCCCCCCCCGCACGTTGAGCCCCCAACAACTGCGCACACAAGAATCCCTAGTCCAACTTGAAACCACATACCAAGAAGGGATAGAATCAACCCTACGGTCCTTAAAAACCCAGAAAATATGACAACAAAGTAACCCCACCCGTGTAAACAAGTTACACGTGCACTCCACAACAGTATTAGCAGGGTCGTAAATGACAGTGTGGACCAACTCATCACCATCTTGAACCTCATAACGGGTTACCATCCCATCAACATTTGAACTCACAGAACGACACGAAAAAGACCCTGCAACAACCTCGGCTTGAACATCGTAAAAAACATTGATAGTATATACTGCAGCCGCATGCTTCTCAATCAACAATGGTGTTTGGCACAAAGGAAAATGGCCCTCACGTTCTGCATTTAATTTGGCTTGTGACACACGTTGGGCATCAATAGCTCCGTCAAAATTGTTGAACAACTCAGACAAACTAGTATGTTGGTTTGTGCAACTAGCAAACACACTATTCGCAGCTTCAGACCTAGATGTCGTGCGCAGCAAACCACCCATGAAAACATCATTAAAAGACACAGGGATACAAAATGATCTCTGATCATACATAAGACGAAACCAACGGTGATCACCAAGGCTATATTTTTCCATTACGTCCTGCGAACCCCGCTCAAACTTGTCCACAGACAACGTCTCATTCCAAACAACATCATTTAAAGCACGCCGAAACTCCTCATCTTTAGATAAAACATTACCAACCTTCTCACCAACCTTTGACATTATATGCCACATACAAAACCTGTGGCACGTAGTATCAAACACCCGTGGAACTTCAATCCGCATCGATGGATCTTGATCAGTGATAGTGCAACTAGGCACACGACCCATTACACTCTTAAACTGTTCTAGAAGCCAAACATAAGAGTCCACATCCTCACAATAAAAGCCAAACATAAGAGTCCAATTGCAAATGTGACGCCTCTTTTGTGATTATCAACACCAGTAAATGGAACCAATATGATACCATACCTGCAAGAGATAACAACAAATCTAAAAATCATTACAACCATGGGCGTTAAGACACAACATGCACACAAAAATATGACCAAACTGCACATCCTAGCATTTGAAAAATCAAAGAAACACACGGAAATATTAGGCCCAATGTTAGCCCTGCCAGAATTAAGAAGAAAATTTTGGTGATGAAAATCCATCTTACGGTTAACCCACAGGAACTGCTTAGCCACATCCGAGCACAAATAATAATTATGGCGGTGCTCATTGAAATGAACAACAAAAAAACCATCGTCAACCATCTTCAGTAACAACCTCACTTTGCAACCCACCCTAATATATATATATATATATATATATATATATATCACTACAAGAAAAATCATGAATCACGACAGAAATATCGCGACAGAGCGTAATCCGTTGTCAATTCGCAACGGTTTTTGCGACGGAACGTGTTCTGTCACGGTTTTGCGATTGAAATGGTAACGGAAATCAATTCTGTAGCAATTTTTGGCGCAAAGTGAGAAAAAGCCCAGGAAATTTTGGTGTCCACATTTTGGTGACGGATTTTGCGACAGAATTAAGTTCTGTCACCACAACGGCGATGGAAAAGACAACGGTTGATCGTTCTGTTACGGTTTTGCTACAGAATCCGCGACAAAAATAATTCCGTTGCAATATTTGGCGCAAAGTCGAAAATATTCCCATGTAATCTTTGCACCTAGAGATTGACGACGGAGGTTAACGACGGAATTTGCGACGAGACTTTTTTCCGTCCCGAAAGTATATAAATTTTGAAGTAAAATTTATTTTTGCTACAAAATGGGACGACAGAATCAATTCCGTCGCCAATATGTTGACACATTGGCGTCAGAAAATGCTACGCCCTATATGTCTGTCGCGCTATGACGATGGAATCGGCAACGAAAATTAATTCTGTTGTGATGTTTGATGCAATGGTAGATTTGACGTTTGAGGTTAGCGACAGAACTTACGACGAACGTTTATTCCGTCACCGAAATAATAAACTTTTTATGTAAAGTTTATTTTCGCTACAGAATGCGACGACAAAATCAATTCTGTCGCCAATATGTTAACACATTGGCGACAGAAAATGCGACACCCTATATGTCTGTCGCGCTATGGCGATTGAATCGGCAGCAAAAATTAATTCTATTGTGATGTTTGTCCCAAAGATAGATTTGACTTTTGAGGTTGGCGACGGAACTTACGACAGTCATTCTTTCCGTCATTGAAATATTTAATTTTTTAAAGTAAAATTTAATTTTGCTGCACAATGCGACGACAAAATCAAATTTGTCGCCAATTTGTTGACACATTGACGACAGAAAATGTGACTTAATTTTTAAATGATTTTTAATATTTGTTGAAATAAATATTTTAATTAAAAATTGTTTAGTTTTTTTTTTTTCAAGTAATTCGACCAAAATTTATGAAAATTTTGAAAGCGTGGTATATAAGTGTAAAAATTTAAATTTATTTAAGAAATTGAAAATTATATTGCATCTTTAAATATAAAATTATTATTAGCAAATATCGAGTTAGTACAATTTCAAGTACCTAACGTTGGTATGGTACAAAATTAATATAAAATGTGATAGCATTGGTCTCTGATCATGGGATATTTTTGTATACCCTAATGATAGCAACATTATAGTATTAAAATCGTATGCAAAACTGAAGCCGTATTAACAAGAAATTACATTGAAATTCTCAAATTAATTGCTAGCTGATTAACAATTAAAAATAAGTGTATCCATACCAAAAAAAAATGTATATATATAATGAGACTTTGTTTCATGCTATCTTGTTTTCAACATCGTGTAAATAATTGGTTTAGCCTCAAAAGATCATAGATATTTACATAGATATGTTTGGTTTGTACAAATTAAATGATGAAGTTCATGTTTAGTAACACAATTAGCTTATCAGTCAATTTTGATGTATTTAATCACTATTATAGTTGTTTGATTTAGTTAAACAATCAATATGAATATTTGATTAATCAATTTTTTAAAATACTCAATTTTATTATATCGAAAATAATTATTTTTATTTTATATTTAAAATTGTACATATATATATATATATATATATATATATATATATATATATGTATATATATATATATATATATATATATATATATAAAGCACACATACACACACACTCATATACACGCACACATATACGACGAAATTATGTCACGGAAAACAAATTTTGCGACGGAATATCTAGCGATGGAATTACTACGGAAATTTGTTCCATCATTTTCTTACGATGAATTTGTGCGACGGAAGACAAAATTTGCAACGGAAAAGTTTGCGACAGAATAGCGACGATAATTTGTTTCGCCGTTTTTATGACGAAATTTTATGACGGAATAAAAAAATTGCAACGGAAATGTTAGCGATGGATTCGCGACAATAACTATTTCCGTCATTATATTTCACGACAGAGATATGCAACGGAATATGAGTTTTGCGACGGAATATTTTTTCACACAATGGCGATAGAAAGAAACATTTCCGTTGCCAAAATCGCGACGGACTCGTGACAGAATGACTTCCGTCGCCTCACGACGAACAATTCCGTCACCATTTTCCGTCGCCATCGCTCGCGACGAATTATTTCCGTCACGAATTGAAATACGACATGCCTTAAGACTACGGAATGGATTCCGTCGCGAAAATGAAAAATTCCGTCGCAAAACGTGATTTGCGACGGAATTTAGCGTTTTCGTGACGGAATTTTTCCGTCGCGAATCACGATTTTTCTTGTAGTGTATATATATATATATATATATATATATATACATACACACACACACACACACACACACACACACACACACATATATATATATATATATATATATATATATATACATATATATATATATATATACATATATATATATATATATATATATATATATATATATATATATAGGGTTCCATTCACATGCAAACCCCCTTAAAATACAAACTAGTGGACAAATATGGGCCATAAGATTAGATTAGATTAATGGTTGAGATTTAAGAAGAAAAATATATACTAGGATCCTTAATTAAGAATAAAAGGGCAATTAAGACAATTGAACGGTAGTCTAATTACGGTAAAATTATTATTTTGATATGTAACCTAAATTAAATAATAGTAATTATAGTAGGAGTTGACCAAAGCAAAACAGACCTACAGCCCACGGTAAAATTATTATTTCGAATGGTTGAATTATTGGTATGTTTAGATTCCGCGTGTGTGCACGAGTTTAGATTATCGTGTGTGCACGAGTTTAGATTATCGTGTGCGCACCGGAGAACTAGGTAGATTTAAATTAGTAGTAACATGTGTGCATGCTTTATACTGTAAGTGTGCACAGTTGACCGCGATATACAATACGCACATAGTCACACAGTCTGTTCTTAATTATATACGTTTGTGTTATACGTACCAGATATGTGTGCACTATTAACTCTAAAAAAAATGATGACACTGCAGGTCATACTGGACGCATATATATGAGTTATTAAGCCTTACTTTTGATGATTGCGATCTTATTTAGTCTTTCGCTGTTGGGTGCACACCTAAGTAAATCTATGTGCATGAATGAATCCCTTAGTTTCTTGAATTTTTACTGATAAGCGCGGTGGGACAAAAAATTTGGCTTTTATTACTATTTTATGTGTACACTAATAACCAAACAATATTGACTCTGCAGATACAGGCTTGTCTCTATACCATTTACGGGAGTGGACAATAATAAGAGGTGTGTTACGTTCAGGCCAGGCCACGACAGCCAGAATTGTTCAGACAAAATAAACCTATAAGACGAATAGCCCCTTATGGTTTAAAACAATACGAATACTAACTTCATTTGAAGTTGAATTAAATACTCATCGAACTTTTGAATTTTACCGATTGTTGGAAGTTAGTTTGTTGAGTTATGCACACTGTTTTACACCATTGTGCACCCACGTTTTTTATTACTAAGCCTATAAGCTAATAGTGAACTACTCAGTATTGTTAAATTTATTTAGTTTTTACCCATGGTTGAAATGTATTTAGTTGTGCACACACATAATTTATTTAGTTTGTTGAGCTATGCACATTATTTAACACAAATGTGCACCCACGTATTTAAAAATTAAGCGTATACGATAATATCGAACTAGTCTGTTTTGAACTTTACCCATGGTTGGTAATTATTTAGTAGAGCTTTGGACACTATATAACGCCATTGTGCACACACGTTTGTAATTACGAAGCCTATAAGCTAATAGTGAACTACTCACTGATGTGGAATTTATTTAGTTTTAACCAATGGTTGGAATTTTTTAGTTGTGCACGCACATAATTAAACCCAATGTGCACTCATGTATTTAAAAACTAAGCGTATAAGAGATTTTTGAATTAGTCTCTTTTATGAAATTTACCTATTCATTATCCATGCACACAATTCAACGCAACTGTGCACACACGTGTTTATTAACTAAGCCTACAAGTTAATAGTTCAATAGTCAATTGTGCACACAAGTTTGTAATTACGAAGCCTATAAGCTAATAGTGACCTACTCACTTATGTGAAATTTATTTAGTTTTAATCCATGGTTGGAATTTTTTTAGTTATGCACACACATATTAAAAACTAAGCGTATAAGAGATTTTTGAATTAGTCTCTTTTGTGAAATATATCTAGTTTGTATCCATGCACAGAATTCAATGCAACTGTGCACACACGTGTTTATTAACTAAGCCTACAAGCTAATAGTACAATAGTCAATTACAAAAAAAAAAATCATTTCGTTACTATACATGGTTGAAATTTATTAAGTTGACGATGATGCACACATTTTATCAACAATGTGTGTGCACACAAATTAACGTATTTGTGCATCCACGTATTCATTTACAAACAATATAAGCTAATACTCAACTAGCCACTTCCGTGAAATTTATTTATTTAATATCCATAATCGAGGGCATTATCCTGTGGTGGCTCTGGCTGAATCTTGGAAAGGACCACCCTAGGCGGCGACATAGAATCTTTATTATTTAAGTGCTGATAACGACGAATATATATTGAATATATAGAATTCGTGCAACGACGGTGTAGGACAGTGTGCAAACAAGCCATACCCCTCAGAACTAGTATGTGCAACAACAATGTTTGTAGAAATGCAATGTGTACTGAAGTTGACGTTGAACAAAGTTGGCTAAATGGTTATTAAACGGTTATGAAGTTGTGCAACGAAGAACAAATAAGCAGCGCAAGTCATAACGAATTTAAGAGAAAAATCTCTGCAACTTAATTAATGGCGTAAATGCAATGATAATATAAAAGCCAAAGAATTTAGAATTAAACTAGGACTAGTTTTCCTGAAATTCTAGGTGCAGGTCGATGTGCAATTATATAGTATGACAATGTGCAATTTTGTTTACCAATGCAGATACAGATTGCGTGACAAGGTTATACTATATGCACAAAGGGAATTTAACAAAAAAAAAAAAAAAAAGAGGAAAAAGAATGCCACAATACGAATTCCATACCATTATTTTTAATATCAGAGGAAACGAATAGAGTAGACACAGCGCATAGAGAAATTCTAAAAAATAATGCATGGGGTAAATTTGCTGCGTACAGTCGAATAAATTTTTAACAAAACTAAACACATCAATTAATTTAATACCAACCGAAAATGCAGAACTGAAACAAGTGAATGGAGAATTAAAACATATAGAAATGTGTTTAAACGAAAATTAAATTTAAAGTCCGATGCGAGCCTTTGCTCATTTTGTTCCTTGCTCATCGGGCATGTACGACTATTATGGCCATACTTTTCACAGGTTTGACATTGTTGTTGACGACGTTTAGAATTCTCGACAGCTAACTCCCTAGTACTTTTGAAACGCTTGCCACAACCCTTGTTATTAGAGAGAGAGAAAGAGGAAGAGGACGAATATCAACTTGGTCATCGGGCGAAGCACTGCAAAACGAATCAAATAGTTGTTCTTAGAACTAGACGGCTGATTGTTGGGGCCATTTTCGGCAATGAAACCAACGTTCAAGTCTTTCAAAGCACTAGTGACCTTGATAACCTGATCAACACTCCGTGAAGCCATCATAAACATCTACATCTGCCCTTTCAAGTCTTTCAAATAGAATTCTGCTCATGCTTCACCAATATAAACATCTACATCTGCCCCCACCGCCCCCCCGCCCCCCCCCCCCCCCCCCCCCCCCCACGTTGAGCCCCCAACAACTGTCGCACACAAGAATCCCTAGTCCAACTTGAAACCACATACCAAGAAGGGATAGAATCAACCCTACGGTCCTTAAAAACCCAGAAAATATGACAACAAAGTAACCCCACCCGTGTAAACAAGTTACACGTGCACTCCACAACAGTATTAGCAGGGTCGTAAATGACAGTGTGGACCAACTCATCACCATCTTGAACCTCATAACGGGTTACCATCCCATCAACATTTGAACTCACAGAACGACACGAAAAAGACCCTGCAACAACCTCGGCTTGAACATCGTAAAAAACATTGATAGTATATACTGCAGCCGCATGATTCTCAATCAACAATGGTGTTTGGCACAAAGGAAAATGGCCCTCACGTTCTGCATTTAGTTTGGCTTGTGACACACGTTGGGCATCAATAGCTCCGTCAAAATTGTTGAACAACTCAGACAAACTAGTATGTTGGTTTGTGCAACTACCAAACACACTATTCGCAGCTTCAGACCTAGATGTCGTGCGCAGCAAACCACCCATGAAAACATCATTAAAAGACACAGGGATACAAAATGATCTCTGATCATACATAAGACGAAACCAACGGTGATCACCAAGGCTATATTTTTCCATTACGTCCTGCGAACCCCGCTCAAACTTGTCCACAGACAACGTCTCATTCCAAACAACATCATTTAAAGCACGCCGAAACTCCTCATCTTTAGATAAAACATTACCAACCTTCTCACCAACCTTTGACATTATATGCTACATACAAAACCTGTGGCACGTAGTATCAAACACCCGTGGAACTTCAATCCGCATCGATGGATCTTGATCAGTGATAGTGCAACTAGGCACACGACCCATTACACTCTTAAACTGTTCTAGAAGCCAAACATAAGAGTCCACATCCTCACGATAAAAGCCAAACATAAGAGTCCAATTGCAAATGTGACGCCTCTTTTGTGATTATCAACACCAGTAAATGGAACCAATATGATACCATACCTGCAAGAGATAACAACAAATCTAAAAATCATTACAACCATGGGCGTTAAGACACAACATGCACACAAAAATATGACCAAACTGCACATCCTAGCATTTGAAAAATCAAAGAAACACACGGAAATATTAGGCCCAATGTTAGCCCTGCCAGAATTAAGAAGAAAATTTTGGTGATGAAAATCCATCTTACGGTTAACCCACAGGAACTGCTTAGCCACATCCGAGCACAAATAATGATTATGGCGGTGCTCATTGAAATGAACAACAAAAAAACCATCGTCAACCATCTTCAGTAACAACCTCACTTTGCAACCCACCCTAATAGAAACACGTCGACGCTTTTGAACCAATGGTGCTTCATCCAACGCATCATTCCCAACAAACGGTACATCCGCAAACTGCTTGAATCCCTCACGAGAACAAACCAACAAGTTTTTTTACGACAACACCCTCCCTCTTCTAACGCACCGAACTACGACATATGCCAAATCCAACAACAGACGCATAATGTCGATAAAAAGCAATGCAATGAGAAAGAGAAGGAAAAAGATAACCCTCAAAAGGCCTAACAACCTCGTCACACGAAGGCGTCCAGTACTTAGTCCCACCGAGAGACACGTCCATAACACAAGCCTGTACCGATTCCAACCGAACTACACACGCATCAAACACAAATACATATGTAAAAAAAAACAATTAAAAAAATGCACAACATACAAAAAAAAAAAAAAAAAAAAAAAAAAAAAAAAAACAGACTAAGTGCACAATTAATATGGCAATACATGCACATTACGTAGCAAATACCCCAACCACAAATGTGACACCCCGTAAAACCAAATTCTATTTAGGGATTAATTAAGTAATTAATCCTAATCTAATTGGTAATTTATTCTTTAAATTCCTGAAAATTTAATAGTCGGGGACTAGTAATTGACTAGTCAACCCAAGTCAATGAGTTGTACTCTAAGCTTTGTGAAAAGTTCCCTTGTCCCCTTACACTTTTCCATCTTAGTATGGGTAATGAAGACATTTCAACTCATGATTGTATCCCAAGCTAACCTAGAGTCATCTTTCATTCTTTCCCTAACACTCTCAAAACAAAAGCCCCTCCTTCTCTCTAGAATTTAGCTAGCTTCTTCTTCAAGCCAAGATTGGGCATTCCAAGATCTTCCAAGTTGGTCTCCGAGATTCCATCTTTCTTACTTTTGAGCATATAGGAAGGTAAGATCTTTGGTCCTTTAGTCTTTTTGGTACCTTTTAAGTTGTCTTTTTCTAAAGATGAAACCTTTGTTGTCTTTTGGTGTGTTTGTGAAGTAGAAGTTGAAGGAGAACCTTGTTAGAAGCTTGTAAAGATTTAATAACTGAAGGTTTAGGCTAATGCTTTACAAAATCTATTTTCTTACCTATATGATGATTTCTTGACTTCTACATGTGATTTTTGCTATGAAATGTGAGTATTGATGCATTGTCTTGTGAAAATGCATATCTAGAGCTTGTTATTAGGGTTCTTGTATGCCATTGCTTGGCTATTCCTTTGATTTAAATCTTATTTTTGTATTTTGTGAGATTTTGGGTGTTTTGGACTTGAATTTGAGCTTGGTGTTGAAAATCCCCGAAGGGATATTTTGGTACAGGGTAGTGTACCCGCGGGTGGAACGGCGGGTAGAGCTCCACCCGCCGCCCCACCCGCGGGGTACATGGCTCGTGGAACTTGTTTCCCGCGGGCGGAACGACGGGTGGGGGTCCACCCGTGGCTCCACCCGCGGGGTATAATGGTGGTTTGTGTGGGGATTTGTTCCCCGTGATTCTTTTGACTCGGTATTTGATGTTTTGACTTCCCGATGATCTTTTGTTGGGCTTTTGAGTGTCTTCTTGATGTTTCGTAAGTCTAGAACTATATGGTAGGAATCCATGTAGGTTTTGGTGTCTTGAATCGTGCTAAGTGTTCAACCTTGTGATTCGTTGAACCATGATGAGTCTTGTGTGTTCTTTGGAACTATGTTTCGTTTACCCGTTTGATAAGCATGCTAGTTCTGTTGAAATGCTAGCGTGTGTTGTAACACCCCGTGTTGCATGTTGATGCAGAATGGGAAGTGATTGCCTATGCTTCAAAACAACTCAAGGTGCATGAGGAGAATTACCCGACTCACGACCTAGAGTTAGCGACAGTAGTCTTCGCCTTGAAGATCTGGAGGCACTACCTATATGGAGTACGTTGCAAGATCTTTGCAGACCACAAAAGTCTCAAGTATATATTCACGCAGTAGGACGTTAACATGCGCCAAAGATGTTGGTTGGAACTTATCAAAGATTATGAGCTGGACATTCAATATCATGAAGGGAAAGCAAATGTGGTAGCGGACGCCTTAAGCAGGAAGTCCAAGCACGCAGTCAGTTCCATTTGGGTGGTGGCTGACGAGCTTTGTAAAGAACTTCAAAGGATGAACTTGGAAATGGTGGAGCAAGGCGAAGCGGAGTCGGAGATTCGTCTTTTCAACCTACGGATTATGCCTACCTTGTTGGAAGAAATCAAGGAAGAACAGTTGAAAGACATCAGTTTGTTGAGGGCAAGGGATGATGCGGTTAAGGGAAGAGCAGGATCTTTTGAGTTATCTCCTGATGGAGGGTTGAGATATAAGGGCCGTTTATGTATATCTGCATCGTGTGAAAGATTGAAACGTCAAATTCTTGAGGAGGGCCACAACACACCCTACTCAGTACACCCCGGGGGTGACAAATTATATAAGGACGTGAAGAACCTCTTTTGGTGGCCTAATATGAAGAAGGAAATAGCAGAATTCTTGGGTTGATGTCTAAACTGTCAAAAGGTCAAAGCGGAATGTTGCAGAGTTAAAGGCTTGGTACAACCGTTGGAGGTACCGCAAGGAAAATGGGATTCTATCTCCATGGACTTCGTGGGCGGCTTACCGGTGACCCGCACCGGCAAGGACAAAATTTGGGTAGTGGTGGATCGGTTAACCAAAACCGCTCGACTTATTGCAATGAAGGAAACATGGACAATGACTCAGTTAGCCCGAGCCTATGTTAATCAAGTGGTGAAGTACCATGGTGTGCCGGATATCGTCTCCGACCGGGATCCGAGGTTTCTATAGTTTTGGAAGTCGTTACAAACGGCCATGGGGACGAAGTTGAGCCTTAGCACCGCTTTCCACCCCGCCACGGACGGACAGACAGAGAGAACCATTCAGACAATTGAAGACATGTTGAGAGCATGTATGCTGGATTTTCAAGGGTCGTGGGAGCATCACCTGGATCTAATAGAATTCTCTTATAACAACAGTTACCACTCAAGTATACGGATGGCACCGTATGAGGCCCTTTACGGCCAGAAGTGTCGTAGTCTGTTGTGTTGGGAAGACCTAGTCAATCCAGTGATGTTAGGACCGCAGTACCTACATGATACAGTGGAAAAGGTTAAACAGATTCAAGAGAGGATGAAGGTGGCTCAAGACTGTCAGAAATCCTTTGTCGATTTGGGAAGGAAGCAGGTGGAGTTTGCGGTTGGGGATAAGGTATGGCTGAAAGTCTTTCCCACCCGGGGAGTTATGAGGTTTGGAAAGAAAGGTAAATTGAGCCCTCTGTTTATTGGACCGTATGAGATTCTTGAAAGGATAGGAAATTTGGCTTATCGGTTAGCCTTACCTATGGAGTTGGAACGATTGCACAACGTTTTCCATATGTCTCAGCTTAAGAGGTATATTCATGACTCGATGCATGTAATCCCACTGGAGGTGATTCCACTGGATGAAGATATGTCGTACGAAGAAAGACCGCACTGGATTTTGGATTTCAAGACGAGGGAGACACGCAGGAAGTCGGTGAAGATGGTGAAAGTTTGGTGGACACATCATGGTGTGGAAGAAGCAACTTGGAAGTTGGAGTCAGCTATGAGGGAGCATTATCCAAAGTTGTTCTCTTCAGGTACCTCGTTTCACCGTTCTGGCAGTTAGTTTTGTGTTGCATTGTGTGATCCTCCTTGTTGCTTGTTGTGCTGAGTATTTGGCTTTATAGGTTGTGCTACTAGGACTTAGTTGTTTATAACTTATGTGTGGTTTAGGAGGTCTTTGATGGTTGTGTTTGGTTTAGTGTTTGTTATGCTCAAAGAACTCCGTTGATTAATTCTTTCAACTTTGCAATGTTATGACTTCTTGATCATTTTTGTACCTTTTTGGATCCTTTAAGCATTGACCGAAAGGATAATTCTTGACTCTCTTGTCACATTGTTGTTTCGTTTTACCGTGTTGTTTTTAATTTGTCGTACCCAAGCTTCGGGGACGAAGCTTCTTTTAATGGGGAGAGGATGTGACACGCTGTAAATCCAAATTCTATTTAGGGATTAATTAAGTAATTAATCCTAATCTAATTGGTAATTTATTTTTTTAATTCCTGAAAATTCAATAGTTGACTAGTCAACCCAAGTCAATGAGTTGTACTCTAAGCTTTGTGAAAAGTTCCCTTGTCCCCTTACACTTTTCCATCTTAGTAAGGGTAATGAAGACATTTCACCTCATTATTGTATCCCATGCTATCCTAGAGTCATGTTTCATTCTTTCCCTAACACTCTCAAAACAAAAGCTCATCCTTCTCACTAGAATTTAGCTAACTTCTTCTTCAAGCCAAGTTTGGGCATTCCAAGATCTTCCAAGTTGGTCTCCAAGATTCCACCTTTCTTACATTTGAGCAATAGGAGGGTAAGATCTTTGGACCTTTGGTCTTTTTGGTACCTTTTA